GTCTTGTTCTTGTGATTTGTTTTCTGTGTATATAAACCTGTGTGTTTCCCTTTGTTCCTTGTCAGTTTGTCCTGTGTTCATTTCAGTCTTTACAGTGTCGTTTCTCGTTTCGTCTCTCGTGTTGCGTTTTGGATTTCTGCCCCAAGTTCTTACTTGTGTTCATTGTGCTTCCCTGGCTGGTTTTCAGTTTAGTTTTGGTTCTTCTTTCATTTGGACTTGTAGGTACCTGTCTGCTCTGGATGTTTGTTATCAGGTATGTTAAAATTTTAACCTGCCTGTTACTCTGCATTTGGGTCCTCCCTGAACTGGTTTATGATTCCATGTACTCCTGCTTCCTTCCACAATCCAAAGACATGCAGGTTAATTGGTGACTCTAAATTGCCTGTAGGCGTGAATGTGAGTGCGAATTCCTTCCAGGAAAGTTGAAGTTGTGGTGTTTGCAATTTGGGCTATATCCTAGGTTAATGTGGCCATTGTCAATTTATGAAATTCCAATATCTGTAGTGGAGAGAATTGAAAGGTCGGTTAGCTCCTATATTAGGAAGTGGTTGGGTGCTCCTAGGTGCCTAAGTAGTGTTGCATTGTATGGAAAAGGGATACTTCAGCTGCCAGTATCTAGTTTAACAGAGGAATTTAAATGTAACAAGGTCAGGACAGAGCTGTTGTTATCTGGGAGTAAGGACGTGGTAGTTAGGAGTGTGGTTCCAAATCCAAAGCATGGTTCCTACATGCAGAGATTGTAGGTAATGTTCAGTTTGGCTGGGGAGGCCTGGGGCTTGGCTCACCCTAACCCTTAGCGTAATTTGGAATAATACTCATATGTTTTTGTATCTGACATGCACATAAAACACATTAATTACTGTGAAGGGAAAAAAGTTTCAGATTGATATAAAAGGATTTTATCAACACACTGAATAAATGACTTGACCAGTATTTTAGTGGAGGAGATTTTTGGTAAAATCCATCTGGGTGTTTCCACTGTGACTCAACAGAGTTTGAAATGCTGAAGGGAAGTGTTTCCTAATTGAACGATTGCCAATGTTAACGATCTTTGTATTGCAGTGAATACATGTTACTTGGATTTTGAAAGAAAAGTGCAAAAGAACGCAAATGGTTGTTCCACTCTCTGTATATGTTCATTCTTGTAAGGAAAAACTGGACATCCATATGTTTAATTACCCCAAAGGTGACGATATAATCTTTACAATAAGCTGAAAACATGAACATTGGCAAAAGTGACTAAAAGTTTTCACAAGACATTTATTATAAGCTCCATCTTACACAGACTCTAGTTAGGGTCCGGGCAGCTAAACTGCCGGGACACTATTGTAATCCTAGGTATTCTTCTTCTTTCTTCTTTCTTCTTCCGAGGAAATCATACTTCCCATGGGTGAAAACTCACCAAACTTTGCACAAAGATCCAGTCTCATGCCAGATATCCTCAGCTGTAAACTCAAGCCAATGAAAATTCATAACAAATCAACCATACAGTGGTGGAAAAAAGTTTTCGGACACCCCATGCATTTGTGAAATATTGCATTAAGAATCACTCTTAGGTCTTCAAGTGCAATTTCTTTTAGTACAGTCACAGCCAAAATACTAAATAAATCCTAAAAAAGCCATTAAAAACTTAAAATTGATTGGTTCCATGAAAATACATAAGAAATTTTGAGTATTGGGTCATTTTGGTACCAGTGATGAAGGTCATTCTTTTTATTAAAAGACACAATTTTTGTTGCCAAGCTTCGTGTCTACATAAAGCCAGCACATTTGAAAGTTCTTCAGACACAAAAATGGCTAAAACAAGGAACCTAACGCAGGAAACACGCCTGAAGATAAAGATTCTCAGCCAGGAAGGGTACAGCTGCCGCCAGATAGCCAGGAAGTGCAGATGCAGTCCTTCAGCAGTTGGATACACTCTGCAGAAATACAGACGAACCAACAGCTTGGAAGACAAACCAAGATCTGGGCGTCCAAGGGTTTCATCAGCAAGAAATGACCGCATCCTGATCCGCATGTGCAGGCAAAACCGCCGAATGACATCACAGGAGCTTCAGCAGCAGTGGTCAAACCAAACTGGTGTCCAGTGTTCCACCCGCACTGTACGTGGCCGACTTTTAGATCATGGCTTAAGGTCCTACAAGGCTATCAAGAAGCCCCTGATCAATGAGAGACAGAGGTTAGCCCGGCGTCGTTGGGCCCAGGCACACAAGAACTGGACAGCCAGGAAGTGGAAGAAGATTTTGTGGTCAGATGAGTCCAGTTTCCAGCTTTATCTTCCTCCTACTAATGTGAGGGTACGCAGAAGGCCAGGCGAAGCATTATCTCCAGCATGTACAGTACCTACTGTCAAGCATGGTGGAGGCAGTATCATGGTTTGGGGATCCATGAGTGCTGCTGGTGTTGGTCATCTCACTGTCTGTGATGGCACATTGAACTCTACCAAGTATTGTACCATTCTCGAAATTCCCCACATGCTCCCTTCTGCACGTGCACTGTTCCGTCGAGGTAAAAACTGGATGTTTCAACAAGATAATGCCCCTTGCCACACATCCAAGGCCAGTAGAACTTGGCTGCAGGAGCACAATATTCAGGTCTTAGAGTGGCCAGCTCAATCCCCGGACATGAGCCCCATTGAAAATCTGTGGTGGATTATCAAAAGGTCTGTTTCAAAGCATAAACCAAAGAATTGAGAAGAATTAAAAGTAGTAATTCAAGAAGAATGGGACAAGATTACCCCTCAACAGTGTGAAAGGCTCGTGGGGAACATGCCAGCCAGGATTAGAGCTCTACTACGTGCCAGTGGCAGGACTACTAAATATTAATTTGATGATGTGATGGTTTATTTATTTTTTGTTCAGTTTTGAACACATTCTCTGTTATTTGTTGACTTTGATACCGACAATGTTGAGAACTGACATATTGAAACTGTCAAGAATTTAGTTTTGTTAGTTTTTCTTGTAAACAATAAACAAAAAAATATAATTTGTATTTGTTTGTATCTGTCTAATGCAGCCACACCTTTTGAAACACAAAATGATTTTTCCACAAATATTTCATGATAATATTTGAGATTGTGTAAAATTTTAAGGGTGTCCGAAAACTTTTTTCCACCACTGTACGTGCTACAACTTCACAACTTTCATCAAACTGTAGCCCCAATACTGAAGAAACTTTTGTACATTTAAACCTATTAAAAAATATGAAGTTCATCACTCTGTTTTTTTTTAAAAACTGTAAAACTTCTTAAACCTATCTCCTCCCACAATTTTTGCTCAATTGACACCAAACTTGCTACAGAGCATCTTCAGACTGTCCTACAAAAACTACGTTTCTCAGATTTTTTATTTATCAAAAACTGAGCCTACAGTGCATCAAAATGTTTGACTGTAAACATATACATGCAAATTCTTGCTAAATAAATCTTCAATGTTCATGAAAAAAAGACAAAATTCTAGAGTCATGGTAGATGATGTGTGGCAAATTTCAGAATTGTATCTCAAAAACTGAATTTTTGACAGCATTTGGAATTTTGCTCTAATGTGAACAATTGGAGTCAATGTAAAAATGGCAATTTTAAACATCAGTTTTTCACTTATGGAGCAAATCAATCATTATTACAAACAAATTACCAACATCTCCATGCTGTCTAGGTGCAATATGTGTATTTTCAGATTTTTGTCTTAATAACTGAATTTTTTTTACAGTGGTTTCAAATCTGCCTTTCCATGCAGGGATGGCTGCTTTCCTACACAACAGTGAATGGCTTACTCAATTTGTGAAGCCACTGTTGAGTTACTACTTGCCAATTAGCTCAGAGTGATTGACAACCGTTTTAGGTTCCAGAGGTTGGGGGTTTGAGCCTCAACTGGTGCAGAATCCACATTGTAATATAATCATCTTCTTGTGCTCCAGCTTATTGCTTAAACTTGCCTGAGCATGACTGATCATTGTGCAGCATATTCAAGTCTTTTTTCTATTAGAAAATCTGCCTTCTCATGCTTGAAAATAAACCAAACTTTGCACCAAGATCCAGTGTCAATACTTCAGTGTGAAACCATCTGAGGCTTCTCACTTTGCACATAGTTCAACTAGTTTAACATCAGTTTTTCACTTATGAAGCAAATCAGTCATTGTTAAAACAAATTACCAACATCTCCATGCTGTCTAGATGCAATATGTGTATTTTCAGATTTTTGTTTTGATAACTAAATTTTTTACAGTGGTTTGAAATCTGCTTTTCCATGCATGGACGGCTGCTAAATCTGCACGTCTGGTTTAGTCAATTTGTGAAGCTACACATGAATTGTCACTGACTAATTAGCTCAGTGAGATAGAAATTGATTCTTAGTCTCAGAGGTTGTGAGTTTAAGCCTCAGCTGATGCAAAAGGCAGATTGTGTTGCTAAATTCCTAAATGTCTTCCAATTCTTCTGCTTGTTGCTCAGAATTGCCTAAAAATGCCCGGACCGGACCTGACCCATCGCTGCGCAGCAGCTATACTTTAATTTAGATTTGCCCAACTAAGTACTTTTTACGTGTAAACCATTAGCCTTCTGCATAAACTAGCTTCCATTTAGCTTTATTCTCAGTGTACTATATTTGCCACATTGCCTTTCCTCATCTTTTCTTCCACCTCTAAAAAGAAAGTGTAGCTGAGTTATTTGATGGATTCATCCAGCTTGTTATCTGACACCAAATATTCTCTACACTGTATTTGTGTCTAAAGTGATGAGACACTTAGTTGAACTTTGAATCTGTTGCACATCAGCACTTTGTGGTGATAAATGTAAAAGGTAACCACCAGCATCAAAGCAGGAGGTGCAAAATCTTAAAGTTTACTGATCTGCTTTATTATTCCTCAGATCAACACCTAAACATTTAAGTTAATGATTTGCTTGTGATTGTTCACATGTAATGGCTCATGTTTCTAATTAAGGTTTCATAACAAAGCTAGTTTTGCTGGTTGTGCATTGCAGAACTTTAAGAATTAAACAGTTCAGTGGTTGATCAATTGTTTTTTATTGAGCAAACTTCAATTTGCCATCATTCACAGCTTTTACATTTTGGATCTTTTTTTTTGTTCTTCCAGAGTTTCACAATGGGTAAGAGAGAAGACAAATATTCTTCAGCTGTGGCTGCTCCTGAGCCTCAGAGAAAGAGTGTGATGATGCTTGAGGATACCAGCAGGAGGAGGACACTGGAACCAGTGGGTATGGCGCTGTTACACAAGTCCTTCTCACAGCACTTTGTGGTACCAACACATGCGCTATTAATTATGCATGTCTTAGTGACAACATCTACATCACAGGAAGGAAAAAATCTCAGTTTCAACAATAAAAGCCACCAGGCATTTCACACAGCAATGTATCAGCTCAGATAGATAAAAAAAATTAATGAAATACTTAATATTAACTGTGGAAGAACAACTCACCGTTCACTTTAGTGGTGGCACAACGGTCAGTGTTGGGAGGACAAGTTTGTGGGTTGGTGCAGGTTTCGCCTTGACATGTGTGGCATTTCAGTCCAAACGCTATACAAAAACAGAATAGTGTCACAAATGGTTTAAGATACTTTAAATCTAACACTCATTGTTTTATATATTTATCTAAAAAAAGAAAGACAAATACAGGAAGAAAACACAAAGAAAAATGAGAGAAAGTGCAAATATTAAGTTTTTTCTCACAACAAAAGAAAATTGAAAGCAGAAATTATTACTCAACAGCCTGATCAAAATGAAAAAAAAAATCGAGAATTTTTATCATTACACCTTATGGCAATACACATGACATGAATCATAATCGTTACCTGCAGACAGAGTCACAAAGAGGATCAGCGCTCCAAACCACTGCATCATAAACGAGGAGAAAATCAGACTTTTAATCAGCCGTGTGAGAGGAGAACTGGAGAAAAGATGTGAACTGTTCCTTTTATAGTCCGACCCCGCAGTCCTCTTTCAAAACCTGACAGTTACATTTCTTCACAAAACCTCCTCCCAAAGTGAGCACAAGTATTTCACTGATTTCTACAGCGACATCAGACATTTGACATTTATTTTTGAAACCTATGGACAAATTATGAAAATTAGTGAAGTTATTTTCTGATTGTGATTCATCTGGTTTCACTCAGTACGTCAGGAAGCAGAGGTGGTCCTACATTCAAGGTTTCACCTGAAGTAAAAGTTAAAAAAAAAAAAAAAAGTCTTAGCTACAAAATGTACTTAAAGTAGCCTATTAGAGTAAAAAGTACTGTTTAGGCACGGTGGTCCATTTCAAAGAGCTCTAATACTGTAACATTTATTGGAATGTTATATAATATAATTTGGCACATAAACAGCTTTTACATGTAACTTCTTTACATACTGTTGGATAGTTCAGCCTGTAGCACAGTATGTTTGATAAATTGTGTTTGGTTTGAAAAATCTTAATTTGTAAAGTAACTAGAAACTTAAAGTCAAGCTATGCAGGATTTTCATTAAAAAAAACACAATGCATAGACTCAAACAGAGGAAATCCACTCAATTATCACTGTCAACCCACTAGAAGTGTGTGCTGGTGTATTTTTCTGTCCTCTGCCTGTTTTTTATTTTATTGTATTTTATTAGTTGAGGTCAGGGCTTCATAAAAAGGTAGCAGCCAGACAATAAGGTGGAATTTATACTCTTGCGTTGTATCAATGGCGTAGCTACAGCATGTAGGCTCTATGTCGACATGGAACCTATGCCGTAGCCTGACATGCCCCTCCCCAGAAATGTAACTACACGTCACGGCGACACAGCTGTCTATGTTTGCAAACTGAAACCATTTCCCTCAGTGGAAACAAGCTATTATTGACTTTAATTTCAGAGATAAGAAACAATAAATTGTGAAGACAATAAAACCTCCACAAAAATAGCATTTTAAGTCTTGTATGTGATATATCCTGGCTTCATATTCAGAGGAAATCTCTGCTTGTCGCTAGGCTAATTCATACAATGTAAAATGCCATAGGCTTGTGCTAATAACGTTAGCATGTCATAGGCCTTTTTGTTTGAGAAAACACGTTTAGTATAAGACAGTTGTTTTGTCGGTCAACCTTGTGAGTTGTAACAGAGCCAAATTGTGTGCCGTTACCTTTGTTAAATGTTGCTGTTGTCCCTGGCTTCATATGAGAAGAGGAAAAGATCGCTGGCTGCTAGGCTAATGTAAACAATGTAAAATGCCATAGGCTTGTGTTAATAACGTTAGTATGTTGTATTTGTTTGGAAAACATGTTTAGTATGAGACAGTTGTTTTGTCAGAGAACCTTGTGAGTTGTAACAAAGCCAAATTATGTACAATTACCTTTGTTAAATGTTGCTGTTGTTCCTGATTTTAGCCTATATGGCCTACTTTACATTTCATGGTTCAAGTGACCCAATTCCGATTTTTTCCTCTCAAGTGGCACAGGTCGGATCTGTAACATGAACGTGTAAACAGGAAAAAAACGCATGATATCGGATATTGTAAGACCAGATTCAGGCCTCCTTCATATGTGGAAATATATCGGATATGAATCAGACATTAGGTCTGTAATCTAAACAGACAGATCGGATATTTCCTGGCAATCCACGTCGTACGTCATGAATAATGAGACGACAGTGCATTTTGATGACGTGCTCATGAGCGAGGGAAAGGAAGGAAAGCCAAATAAATCGCACGTCAATCAAAAACTATGAACCAAAAAAAGCACAATCTATCCCGAGTGAGACAAACTGCTTGATCCCCGTCTCCAGTGTACCAGCAGAGAACCTGCAGAACCGAATCAGCGACAAAACACACCGGGCTACACAGCCTCTCTACCTGAGCAGCTGAAGCTGCGGCTCGCACCCCTGACACACAGACACATAGACGGCGCTTCTGCTTGCCAGCCAAACCTGTGCGCAACTGTGAAATAAATATGTGAGGTGTTCTTTCTTTCTTTCTGTCAGCGACATACACTCCTAACACAGGACGGGTTGTTTTTATTGACTGAGTTGATTATTAAGCCATAGTGATGCGCGGATCGGCTCTGATAGCACCCGAATCAGCATGTACCTATCAATCATCCAGCCGCACCAATCTGCAGCTGCACGGACATTTCCACCGCTCTGTGTAGGCTAAGTTACCTTTTAAATTATGTGGAGCAGCGCCAGCTTTCCAGGTGATTTATTCTTTAACGATTAACTTCAAATATTTAAAGTTAGTTCTTAAAATTGCTTTCAGTAATGTAAACATTTCAACGCGCGCAGTAATGTCACTGTAGCAAATACCGTGGGCCATTTACACAGTGGTCAAGAGTGCTGGACCAGAGGTGTCACACAAAAAAACAGGTTCTGCGTTCTGTTTTGCCTCCGTGTTTCCGTGAAAAATAAGGTGAATAGAACATGTAAACAGCAGTCAGGAAAAATCGGATATAGGCAACAAATCGGAATTGGGCATCAAGACATGGTAGTGTAAAGGCAGCCTATGAGAAGAGGAAAAGATCGCTAGCTGCTAGGCTAATTTATACAGTTTAAAATGCCATAGGCTTGTGCTAAAAACATTAGCATGTTGTATTTGTAGGGATAATGTGTTCAGATAAAAACAAGCGTTTGTTTGTGAATGCTGCGAGTTATAGTGAAGCTGTTTTGTGTACTTGTTGTCTCTATAAAGCCATGTTTAATGTGTGTTTTGAATCAACTAAACTTTACAGCACTTCACAGAAACCCCACCGCCGACTTGTGTTTTTGAGGTGTAACTGCGGAGCGACACAGACACACCATCACACAAGTATAAATGCTCAAAACGGCTATATAAATCCATATAAATCCTGCTTAAGATTCAAGATTCAGGATTCAAAATTCAAGAGACTTTATTGTCAATTCTACAGTTATGTAACAGGCATAGCTACAGAGAATCAAAATAATGTTTTACTCTGAACTGACCCATGGTGCAGACAGTGCAAAAGGATAAGTATAAAATTGTTCTGATAATACAAAATAAATATAAATAAGTGCAACCAAGTATCACAAAGATGTAACTTCAATCAGTTCAAATGGTGCAAATATTCAATAACTGAATAGCAGCTTGCAACCAGACAAGAACAGTAAATGGAAAATGAGTATATGAGTACACTGTGGTCTGGCTGGTGCTTTTATGGGTAATATGGTTGTGGCTGTCTTGTGTGTGTCAGGCTGCAATGCCTCAGTTCACTGGAGGCTGGGGATGGAGGGTGGGGGAGAGAGCTCAGTTTCCTGACAGCTTGGTGGATGAAGCTGTTCATGAGTCTGGGGGAGCAGACAAGAAGACTCTGGAACCTTCTCCCTGATGGCCGGAGGCAGAAAAGGGTGTGTGAGGGGTGGCTGGGGTCACCCACAATGCTGAGCAGCAGAAGTGGCATAAAATTAAAATTCTCGAGTAAAGTTGAAGTACCATCAGAGTGGCCTTATTCCAACGTAAGCATTTGTGTTAAGTGTTAGTTTGTCTGATTAATTTGTCAAAGCCACTTTGAACAGGATGTAAAAATGTCTCACTTCGGCAGCATCTCAAGAACATCTGGTGAACTTGAAATGTTAAGGTGGAAGAGATGATGTGAATGATCATCAGTGTGGTTGTTGACATACAGTATCGGTTACAAAGAAATCCTTAAAATGAGTTGAAAACGTGAACATCACCAAGACTGGGATTATACCACATAACAAAAATATGCAGCATTTCACATGGATTATTCAATGAGTCTGTCTTTGCTTAAGCTCCTACAAACTAACTATAACACTGGTAATGTGTAATTCACCTGACATAATGCTGACTTTCTCGGTGAACCATATTCCCTGTTTCAAATAAACATTTTAATACAAATCAGAATATAAATATCAGCAGCCACTGAGCTGGTGCCTTTGCTCTGATCATTTATTCTGTGCCAGTAATAAAATAATAAACTAATAATAATAAACTTAAATTATATAGCACCTTTCAAAGCATAGTTACAAAGTGCTGTACAATAAAATGTAACACAATTAAAACCCAAAAAGAATAAAACAAATAACATGCCATAAAATGTCATCTAGTAAAAGAAGTATGTTTTAGCGACATCTGATTTTTGATATCACACAGACAGTCCTGTAGAGCATGCTGAGGTCACTTGGTTTAACAGGGAGGTACAACTGAGTGTCATCTGCGTAACAGTGGAAAGAGACACCATGTCGACGGATGACATCACCCAAGGGGAGCATATATAATGAGAACAAGATAGAACCAAGGATTGTCCCTTGAGGCACACTGTACTTGATATGGGAAATGGATGACAGACACTGTTAACGGACACACAAAACTTCCTGTCTGACAAGTATGAAACGAATCAGTTTAGGTCAGTGCCAGATACGCCCACCCAGTGCCTCAGTCTATCTAAAGGAATGCCATGATCTATTGTGTCAAAGGCCGCACTTAAGTCCAGCAACACAAGAACTGATCACATGCCTGCGTCAGCATTCATTAAGAGGTTGCTGACAACTACTAGCACAACTAGCAAACTATTTGCACAGAAAAAAAAACAAAAACAAACAAACAAACAAAAAAAACACAACAACAATACACAAATAATAAATAGATAAAATAAAATGCAGTTCGGGACAAGTTACCCAAACACCTGTCTAAACAGGTGCATCTTAAAAGAAGTCAGCAGACTATAAGGGGGCAGGCAGAGCATTCCAATACTGAGGTGCTACAGTCACAAAGGCATGATCACCATGGGACAGACAGCAAATCTAATGTACTAGATTGAAGAGAGCGAGCTGAAGAGTGCGGGTGAAGTAGTCCAGCCACATAAGAGTGATCCTGACTGTGTAATGCTCTTTAAGTAAGAATGAGAATTTTGAACTGGATCCTAAACTAAACAGGGAGCCAGTGAAGGGATTTTAGTATCTGTCCTAACTGTCCCAGGGAGAGCAGCCAAACTCCAGGACACACACCGAGCATGGTGCCCTACTGCTGAGCTGCGCCGCCGTGTCTGGCCCAGTGGGATGTCGCACCACAGAGAGAAATATTTTCTAGAGCTTTGTTTTGGAGCTGCCCAAGTCTCATACCATACTAGTGAGCCAGGTCTCACTACGAAGATGTTGAAATCCGACACTTGGGCATTGACTTGCAGCTTCAGAAACCAACGAAAAAAGTCATCCTTTGACGTCTGCGTGATACACAGACGGTTGCCGCTATAGTTTACCAGCAACTGGTGGCATCATAGGGGAACGCGGCGGGACCAGAACGAACGTTAAGGCATGATCTGAACTGTGCTCTCTAAATCCATATTGGTGTTCGTATAAGATATTATTTTCTTGTAAATGTTTTAATACTCTACTGTAAATTAAATTCTCAAGGATTTTTGAAAAACAAGGTAAAATGGATATAGGTTGATAGTTTGTGAAATTACTTTGATCACCAGTTTTAAACAATGGTACAATTTTTGCTTTTTCTTTTTTAGATCTTTGGGAACAACACCGGTTGCCAAAGATCGGCCTAGAATATGGTTGAGAGGTTCCAGTATGTAGTCTGACACATCCTTTACTAATGAAACACTGATTTCATCATGGCCAGCTGAGGTGTTTTTTAAATTCTTAATAATATCACTTACTTCAATTAATTGTGGAGGGTTAAACTGTAATATACAGGGATAGTGTTTTCCTAAATAATCTAAAGGACTACCCTCAGTGATATCAGTTTTATTTGAGAGAAACGCGCCCACATTTGTAAAGAAATTATTAAAACCACAGGAAATTTCATGTGGATCACTGATCAGTTTATCCCCACTCAAAAACTGAGAGCCAGAGCCCAATGATGTCTTCATTTTTTTTATTTAACAATTGATTTAATGTATTCCATGTAGCTTTTATATTATTTGTTGATTCTTGAAATTTCTTTGAGAAATATATTTTATAATTTTATAATCTTGGTGTATAATCTCTTATAAGTAACAGTTGCTGACTTTTTTGATTCTTGCATTTTATGAACTACACTAAAAATAGGCAGATGATCAGAAATATCAGTGTATAATATACCACTTTTCAATTCCCAGTCAAAGAAGTTAGTAAAAATATTGTCTATTGAAGTGGCAGTTGTATCAGAGATCCTAGTTGCCATATGAATTAAAGGATAAAAATAATTGGAATACATTGCATTTAAGAATTCTGCAGTCTGTGGGAGACTCTCTCTCTTAAACAGATTGATGTTAAAATCACCAATAAGGTAACAGACCTTACCCTCTTTTGAGACAACCTCCAGCATATCTGTTAATTGCTGATTGAAAAGATCAATGTCTGTATTAGGTGGACGGTAAATAGCCCCTATGATTACATTTCACCTCTCAAGAGATGGGCAAGAAATGAGTTCAGTAAAAATACATTCTGCTACAAAAGATTCAAAATTCCCAAGATCATCTCTGCTGATAAACTGATAATCTTTGTGAATAAATAGTGATACACCTCCTCCAGTTCTTACTTCCATTGTAAAATGAACAGCTTTATAATCAGATATTTTATATAAAGATACCATAGATCCATTTAGCCAAGTTTCAGTTAATGCTATAATAGAAAATCTATGGTTCAGACATGAGAGATAGTGGCTTAAATTATCATAATTCTTGGGTAAACTCTTGATATTAAGGTGAAAAACTGAAAATGTTTTTGATATGTTAGGGCATGGAGAATTTTGACATATCAACTTGAAATCTTTCTCTTGATAATATTTACATATATCTGGTCTTTGCAATAATGTCAAAAAATTAAAATCGGGATCATGTTCATCAAAGCACTTTCAAAGTCTGCAGCAACTAACCATGTAATTTGGTAATTCATGTCATTATGCTCATCATTGTTTATATTTTATGTTGTGTTCTGTCGCTCATATTTCCATGAGTCTAAACAGTGAGGTGAAATGCAGAACTTGAAGAATTAGACAATTCAATGGTAGATTATGTTGTGTTTTTATTTAACAGACATTGATCTGCAGTCCTTTACAGCGTTTACATTTTGGAAATGTGTTTATTCTTATATAAGCTGGGTAAAAAAGATATTCTTAAGCTGTAGCTGCTCCAGAGCCTCAGAGAGAGAGTGTGACGATGGCTGAGGATACCAGCAGGAGGAGGACAATGGATGCAGTGGGTGTGGCGTTGGATTGAGCAAACTGGTTGTCATTACACAAGTCCCCCCTACAGCACCTTGTGGGACTATTACATGAACCACTGAACATGCAGCTCCTGGCGATGTAACCTGCAATATATGATGGGAAAACCCCCAGTTTCATTAACAATAAAAGCCACCAGGTGTTTAGTACAGCAATTTATCAACTCAGATAGATAAATTATTTATTTAAAATACATAATATTAGCTGTGGAGGAACAACTCACCATTCAGATCACTTACGGCACAACGGTCAGATTCAGGTGGACAATATTCCACATCTGTGCACTGGAGGCCTGAACATGAGTAGCATCTCAGTCCACATGCTACACAAAAATAGAGAGAAGACATCTAAATGAACATTTTTAAATTTTCCACTGTCGTAATTTGTGCTGCACTCAACATGGGCGGGGTCAAATGTTTGTGCAGTGAGGGACTTTTTTAGTACTTTTAGGGGAGAAAGCAAACCAAACAAAACAAAAACACAACAAATAAAAAAAAAAAGTAGAAGAGCATTCTGGAAGTGTTTGCACGTTGTGTTTTAAAATCCAATCCAATCCAAATACATTCTTTTATTAATATTCAAAATGAAATATAAATATATCAAATTATTAACCAGAAGCCACAACCATAATTACTTTTTATTTATTTGTGTTACAATGTCAAGCCAAAGCACTTGTATCATAAGCTGTTCTTACCTGCAGACAGAGTCATGAAGAGGATCAGAGCTCCAAAAAACTTCATTGTGAACGGAGAGAGAAAAAGACTTTTAATCAACCCTGTGAGAACTAGAGACAAGATGTGAACTCTTCCAGATCTCTCCTTGTATTGTGCAACTTCTCAGTCTCACCACAAATTTTCTTCAGAGTCCTCCCCAGGAAGCCTCCTCCCACATCACTTCCCAGAAAAAGCCACGCAGATGTTGAAGAAAACTGAAACATGCACAGGACTGCACTAACAACATGTGATGCTTAAACCCTGAGCACATTCAGTGGGCTGTGGAGGGTGTGGTTATCACATTTTTTTACTGTATATGTAAGCCGGGCTGTTTATTTCACTCTGAAGTGCACACGCATCCACAGTCAGTGCCCAGTGCTTATAACACACACACACACACACACACACACACACACACACACGTCTGACAAGTAACACAAATACACCCAGTGCTTAAAAACAGAGACCATCGATAAGCATGGATGACTCACTTTACATTCATTTCCTGTATTTGTGTCACATGGGTATTGCCACTGCCCTGCCTCTTTAGGAGATACATGGATGTATAAAGAATAGGGATGCACAATATGTATTGGGCCGATAAATAATCAGCTGATAATTGGACATTTTTATAAATATGCATTATTCCAATAATTAAAATTATAGCTGATAAATAGCGCTGATAACACGGAGCCAGACTGCTTTCATTGACTTCACAAGGACAGTATCTACACACCTGACATAGTGGGTGGTGTTACATGTACCTTTAAACTTGGTTTGTGAGCCGCCGATAAACACAACTGCAACACGTTGCAGCTACTCTGCTCCATTTGTTTTCGAGCTGCCCAAGTCTTGCACCATAGTGGTGAGCCAGGTCTCATTCCAAAGTCGTCGAAATATGGCGCTTTGGCAGTGACTTGCGGTGTCAGAAACCAATGAATAAAGGTGTCCTTTAACGTCAGCATGATACGCAACCGGTTGCCATTATAATTTAACGGCACCCAGGGGCATCAGGGGGAAACGCAGCGGGACAAGGACAAAAGTTGAGGAGGCGAAAGTCCAGGTACAGCAGGCAGGAGGAATGGTGGATGGGTCCAACAAACACTGACTTTCATCTGGGAGAAAGGTGTTTGTGTCCTGCAAGATTCTAAAGCCAAACCCCTCTTTTTTCCTAAACCTAACCACGTGCTTTTGTTGCCTAAACCCAACCATGTGTGTTTGTTGTTGAAGGAAAGAAACGTCAATTTGTGGTGTTGTACTGACGTAGTGCGCTTATTTTGAAAGCAACTGTACGTAAATGTTAAATTTCCTGTGAAAACACAAGTGTACTCTGAAAGAAGACAATGCATGTAACAGGCAGAACTTGACATGCCGTGTCAGACCGTCAACAACCAACGCACCCAGGGTACCTTGCATGTTGTATGTGGACGTGGAAAGTCCATTACCAAGCACGTCAATATGTGTTGAGGTCAAAGTGAGAATGTGTTGCACGGTGTGGGTGTCTGTCACAGTTCCAGAAGAAGACAACAGGATATCGCCGAGGGTCTGATCTCAAACCGCCTGTCATCGGTTAGACACAGTGCTGAAGCACCATCTCCAGAGTGTTAGCACGAGCTAACAGCAGCTTATATCCAACACCAAGCTTTCAAAAGGCTTGACTTATTAATAACCACTAGCCATGTTAGCGAATATGTTTTATCATTACCTGGAACCCAGTCTGGAGCACAACTAAGCATCATGTTAATGAGTTTGTCTTGTACTGGTGGTGGGCGTGGTTTGTAGGGGGTGTCTCCTGTAGGCTTCACACAAAAACTATGTTTGTTTCAGATGAGTGGTGCTGCTTCCCCACTGTGTGACCTATAGAGCAGGCGCACTAGAGACTCCCACCGATGGCCGAGCTGGTTGCTTCCGGTTTTACACTTCGTTAAGTTGAATGGGGATAAAGAGAATCAATCATTCAGCTCTTTTAGACTTTCCAAATGTAATCGCATGGAATGGATTAAATCCCGATAGTGAAACAACTCATTTTGTGGGGGATGTGACCAGTGTTGGTCAAGTTACTTGGAAATAGTAATTAGTTACTGATTACTGATTACTTCTCCAAGAAAGTAATCCAGTTACTTTACTGATTACTTATTTCCAAAAGTAATTAGTTACTTTACTAGTTACTTTACTTAGTTACTTTTCAAAAACATGATGCACAACCTGAATACGCTATAAAGCAATAGACCTTTCAGCCTAATTCTATTCTTTCTGCATATTCCATCATATAAAATTGAATCAAATGAAACAGTCTCTTTTTTAAAACTTGTTTAAGGTATCCTGCAAATGACTTTCTCTGCGGCAGCTGGACACCGCTTTTGGTCAGTACTTTTTCTACGATGCGTCGGAACGATTCTAGTCTACAGTGGAAATGGGCAACATGTCCTCGACAATATAGCCAGCGACGAGCTTCTTCAGTTCAGCGGCACTAAGTCCTGTCGCTCTTAAGTCGATTTTCACCTGTTTCACAGGAGAGGGGCCTTCGGAGGTTCGCCCGGTGGAATTGGATGTGGTAGCCGCAGCGGTCATGTCAGTGGGGGGATCCGGGGTTTTTTCAGTGAGTTTAACATTCCTGTGCCGGCTTGCTAGGTGCTTGCTCAGATTTGAGGTGGAATTTTTCGCTGTAGATAAAAGTTTTCTTCCCACGCAGAGTGTACAGCGGACGCTGATGTTTTTTTTGTCGCCTTTTACTGAGTCAAACTCAAAATAATGTCGGTACTTCCAAGCATTAAATGCTGCATAGTCCTGCTCTCTCCCGCGCTCCATGTTGTCTCTTGTTGATGATCACAACACGTGTCTGCTGTCTGCAACGTCGCGCCGCTCAAACGTCATTGTCACGAAACAGTCTCACAAAACAAAATCACGGTTAAGTAACACAGTAACGCAGCCTGCTTGTGGGAAAGTAACAGTAATCTAATTACTGTTTTTGCAATTGTAATCCCTTACTTTACTCATTACTTGAAAAAAGTAATCGGATTAAAATAACGCGTTACTTCTAACACGTTATTGCCCATCAGTGGATGTGACACAGAAGTTTTACCCACTGATTTACAGATGTCTTGTGCACTTGTGAAAAAGTATTTTTGGGCTGCAGGGCATCATGTGACAGTTTAATTATACTGTTTGGCCACTATGAAAATTGGCTTCAAAGCCCGATGCACTTGCTGGGGACCTGGTCCTGAGTCTCTTCATTCCAATAGGAACAGTTAACCTGAGTACAGTTCATGACCGATTCTTTCGTCTCAGTCACACAAGTAAATATTGGATTCAGTTTTCACAAGCCACATATCCTCCAAACATTCTGACAAATCAGGAGAAAATTAACCTTGTTTGAGACGTGTTTGTTTCAGCCACAGACGCGTACTCGTTACATCTGGCAACACAGAATCTCCCTACTCTGTTGGTGCTTAACTGACAACATGTGACTCTTTTGTCACATGATCTATTTTTATGTCTACATTCCTTGACCTGTTGTGTCATTGTGTCATTTCAAAATCTATCACTTCATGCATTTTTTTTCATCTGCAGTTGAATTTACAGCTCAGGGTAGATTTAAAAGGAGAACATACTGTATATGTTAGAATTAAATTTGTTGTTCCACAGTGATATTTGCCCTGTAAAACAGGTATTGTTCTGTCATGGTCCTTGGTTTTTGTTTATATTCTGTTGTCCTATGGACTATGTCTGTTTGTGTTTCATGTCATGGTTTTACTTCCTGTCTTCGTGTGTTTCCCCGCCTGTTTTCTGTCACACCTGTCTCGTTAGTCCTTCCCTGTTCCCAGAGTCTGCAGCCTACATGCAGCCTTAAAGCAGGCATGCCTTTTCACAACAAAACAAAACATTTCTAGACATTTCCTATTCCAAGCTTAATATTTTTAAAAATAAACCAACAGTATGTCGGACAGAGTTCATTTTTTTCAGCACATCCTCTGAATTGTGACAAAAGTTTGTCTCACTGCAACCTATAGTCAATTCAGAGGTCTGCCACTCTGTATGTTTTAAAATATGCAAATCAGTCAATATCTTTGTCTCCACAAGTCTTTAGTCTAATACTATCGAAATTGACACAGATTTTTTCCGGATACAAGATATCTATCAAATAGTGAGTCCACAGTGATATCCAGTGTCTTACACTTATAAGTGCTGCAGTCATTTCCAGCTTTTACATATTAAAAAATTTGTTTATTTTTTTGAGTTATACAAATTTAGTAAGAAAGAATGCCGATACTCTTAATCTGAAGCTGCTCCGGAGCCTTAGAGAAAGAGTGTGAGGATGCCTGAAGATACCAGAAGGAGGAGGACACTGGAACCAGTGGGTATGGCGCTGTTACACAAGTCCGTGTCACAGCACTGTACGGCACTAAAACAAGAAGCTTGGTTGATACAACCTTTGAAGAGAGCATCTGCAAAACATGATGGCAAAAAAACAACTCAGCAAAACAAAAGAAAAAAACAAAACTCAGTTTCAAAAACAATAAAAGCCACCAGAAATTTAGTACAGCAATATATCAGCTCAGATAGATAAATAACCTTTTTGAAATACTGAATATTAGCTGACGAGGAACAACTCACCGTTCAACTCAAAGGAGGTACAACGGTCATAGTTTGCAGGACAAGTCATTGTGTCTTTGCAGGGTTTTCCCACACATATGTAGCATCTCAGTCCCCATGCTATACAACAATAAAGAATAGTGTCACACATGGTTTAGGGTAATCCAAATGCAATGTTCATGGAAAAACACAAAACAAAATTCAATTTAATTTTTCTTTTCTTTTCTTTTGCCATGCATCTAAAAGTGGTGTTGCAAGAAAAGACGACCGTCATACCAAATCATAAGTTTCTCAAAAAAAAGGAAGAAAGAAAGCAAGCATATTTCAAAAATCAGACCACCATTAAAAAATGTTCTTTTTTTTTGTTATTAAAAATAAAGTAACACAAACTTTCTGACACCACTACAATGACTTTAAAATATTAATAACTTTAACTTCATTGTGAGCAGAAAGCAAACTCTTTTAATCAACTGTGTGAGAGGAGAACTTAACAGAAGGTGTGAACTCTTCCAAAAGCTCTTACTTTTATAGTCCAACCCGTCTGTC